TTGACTCTGTACAATCTTGGGACCCCCTATTGTCCACCACAGGATAGGAGAGAAGGGCCTCTTGACAGTAGCTGTTGCTTTTCAGACTGAACCCTTATCCCCACAAGTGGAGTAGGCAGTAAGTAGTGCGTACCTGTTCCTGCAAAGGGAGAAAGTTTCTGAAGTTTTCTGCAAGATTTTTTGGAGGGGAGACTGGGAGGGATGCCTTTCTCTGAAGCATCAGGCATTGGCCAGTGCTCAAGACAGGCTAAATAAACCAGATCTGGTATGTATAGCTCTTAGATTACTGTGGTTGTAGCAGCTTTCACGGAAGTACAGTGAACTGGATAGGAACACAGGAAAATTAATCATGATTAATCTCACTTATAACAATAGAATACCAATGGAAATTTATTACATATTGTTTGATGTTTTTCAATATTGATTTCAATTACAACACAGAATACAAAGTGCGCAATGTGCACTAAATATTATTTTTATTACAAATATTTGCACTGTAAAAAGATAAAAGAAATAGTATCTTTCAATTCACCTCATACAAGTACTGAAATGCAATCTCTTTATCGCGAAAGTGTAACTTACAAATGCAGATTTTTCTTGGTTACATAACTGCACTCAAAAACAAAACAGCGTAAAACTTTAGAGCCTACAAATCCACTCAGTCCTTCTTCTGCCAATCGCTAAGACAAACAAGTTTGTTTACATTGACAGGCGATACTGCTGCCTGCTTCTTATTTATAATGTCACCTGAAAGTGAGAACAGGCGTTCGCATGGCACTTTTGTAGTCGGTGTTTCAAGGTATTTACATGCCAGATATGCTAAATTAAGAACACTTTCACAGCAGATTTGACAAAACGCAAAGAAGGTACCGATGTGAGAGTTCTAAAAATAGGTACAGCACTCGACCCAAGGTTTAAGAATCTGAAGTGCTGTCCAAAATCAGAGGGACGAGGTGTGGAGCATGCTTTCAGAAGTCTTAAAAGAGCAACACTCTGATGCGGAAACTACAGAACCCAAACCACCAAAAAAGAAAATCAGCCTTCTGCTGGTGGCATCTGACTCAGATGATGAAATGAACATGCGTCAGTCGCACTGCTTTGGATCGTTATCAAGCAGAACCCCTCATTAGCATGGAAGCCTGTCCTCTGGAATGGTGGTTGAAGCATGAAGGGACATATGAATCTTCAGCGCATCTGGCACATAAATATCTTGCAATGCCAGCTACAAGAGTGCCATGCGAATGCCTGTTCTCACTTTCAAATGATACTGTAAACAAGAAGCAGACCGCATCATTTCCTTCAAATTGTAACCAACCTTGTTTGTCTGAGTGATTGGCTGACCAAGAAGTAGGACTGAGTGGACTTGTAGGCTCTAAAGTTTTGCATTGTTTTATTTTTGAATGCAGTTTATTTTGTACATCATAATTCCACATTTGTAAGTTCAACTTTCATGATAAAGAGTGCAATACAGTACTTGTATGAGGTGAATTGAAAAACACATTTTTGTTTTGTTTTCTATAGTGTGTATATTTATTTTTGATTACAAATACTTAGTGAGCACTGTACACTTGGTATTCTGTGTTGTAATTGAAATTAATATATTTGAAAATGTAGAAAACATCCATAAATATTTAAAATAAATGGTATTCTATTGTTGTTTAACAGCGTGATTAATCGCAATTAATATTTTTAATCGCTTGGCAGCCCTATTAAAAACTATTAGCATGTCTCCTCTCTGTTGTCCTTGCCCCCCTTCTCTCCCCTCCCCCCCTCCCTCGGTCTTCTCTTCTCCAGACTAAACAAACCCAGTTTTTTCAATCTTTCCTCATAGGCCATGTTTTCTAGATCTTTATTTTTGTTACTGTTCTCTGGACTTCCTCCAATTTGTCCACATCTTTCCTGAAATATGGTGTCCAGAACTGGACACAATACTCCAGTTGAGGCCTAATCAGCACAGAGTAGAGCAGAAGTATTACTTACTGTGTCTTGCTTACAACATTCCTGTTAATACATCCCAGAATGACGTTTGCTTTTTTGCAACAGCGTTACACTGTTCACTCATATTTAGCTTGTGATCCACTATGACCCCCCAGATCCCTTTCCGCAGTACTCCTTCCTAGGCAGTCATTTCCCATTTTGTATATGTGCAGCTGATTGTTCATGTTAGTTTAAAGTTTATGTATCCATTTAGGATGCCTCTGCTTGCAGAGAAGTTGACATATAATGCACTGCACCCATTTTTCTCCTTTTATTAAATATATTGGACTACCCTGCTTCAAAGCAATCCTCTGGTAACTAATTAGTCTCAGTTCTGCACTGATGTTCTCTTCTCACCCAACTTCCACAAATGGCCAATTGAGCTGAATGAAATTTGAGTGGTAAACAGTAACAAAAACACTGGGACCTCATAATGTATGTAGCTGCCTCACACGTAGACACCACAAGATAATAGTATTTGGCCTTCAATCTGGGATTATAGTTTCCTTAAATCTGTTGCAAATAAAATATAAATATTTGGGACATAAAAATCATCTGGATTATCCATGATTTAGAAATAAGCACAAAAACCAGATAGATGTAATTATCTTTATTCACCTGAAAACTAAAGAAGAATGACAATGTATTTGGCCTTCAATCTGGGATTATAGTTTCCTTAAATCTGTTGCAAATAAAATATAAATATTTGGGACATAAAAATCATCTGGATTATCCATGATTTAGAAATAAGCACAAAAACCAGATAGATGTAATTATCTTTATTCACCTGAAAACTAAAGAAGAATGACAATGTTGACTGACAGAGGAAGACCAAGTTAGAGTTGAAGCGTGTTAACTGATTATCACTGTTCTCCCCACTCTGGCCCATCCTTATGTAATGTGACATGAACTCAGCCATTCAGTGAATTGTGGAGCGGATTACAGAAAAAGCATCAGTATGTGATGAGCTGTAAACACATGTACTAATGCAGGTAAATTCCTTTGCTCCTTCTTTCTGCTTTGCTTGACTTGCTTTGAGATTCTTCACATGTACGATCTCGAGTTCATTTTACTGAAGTGAACCAAGAACAAACATTGGTTGGTAATTTTGAGGTTTTTAAAGCTTCCAGTCCAGCACATTTGTGTGGAGAGGCATAGAGTGTAGAGCATAGAGTGTAGAAGGGCCACAACATTAGCAGCCTTAGTAAAGATGTTCATTGAAGTCTGACAATGGATATCATGGAAACTTGGAATGATACCATGGTAGGACTTGGATTGTTATTGGCCCACAGCGGAATTTTTTGGTTTGTGGTAATAATGATCTTGTCAATGAACCAGATTTATTTACTTTAAGAAGAATAGTTCTTCAGATTCAGATAATGGCAGGAAATTATGTTCCCTCATCTCAGGCATTCTCTTTGTTTGGAAGAAAAAAAAGAATCCATTATTTAACCCTGAGATATTTGAAAGTAAAGAATGGGACATTTTAAATTCCATTCCCTGAGTAATGGGAAATTATTTTAAATGTTGCTGTCAAGTGTGTGTTGTGCATTTATCATCAAAGTGAATTACCAATATGAAATTTGAAACACCAAGAGAAATAAGCCAAATATCCTGAGGCTGAGATCCAAGGAGAGCTTTCCTGAGATGTCATAAAGCACTTCAAATCTTTGTGAAATTGTATATATGTCTTTGGTTTGGTTTGTTTCACTGCTAGCGAAATCATAACTGGCAACTATGGAATGCTAGGTGGCCAGCAGTTTTGCTAGCGTAGGCAGATAAATGGAACAAGAATTGTCTGTCAGCATTTGCTATCCTGATGCTCTATAGCCAGGAATGCGGGGGTTGGATGGATGGCTTTTCTGAGGTAGAGGGATGTTTTTGTCTTGTACTTCAGTGGCATTTAATTATTGCTGTATAAAGAGAGGTGTCCTCTAAAAGACGACAGTCTTAACTCTTCAAAAAATATTACTGAAAGGCAGCGTGTTCCTGTGGCTAGGACAGTTGTTTCCATTCCTGCCTCTGCTGCTGACCTTGGACAAGTCACTTCACTTCTTTGAGCCTCTGTTTCTTTCCCAACTGTGTTTATTTGGATTGTAAGCTCTTCAGAACAGGGGTGGTCTCTTAGGATGCATTTCTATAGTGCCCAGAACAATGGGGCCCCAAGCAAGACTGGTGCCTCTAGGCACTACTATAATACAAATAACAATAGTGTTTAGGGTGACCATACGTCCTGTTTTGGCTGGAACAGTCCCTTTTTTAAACCCTGTCACGGCTGTGCCAACTTCTTTGGCAGAAGTGGCCATTTGTCCCGTTTGCTCTTGCCAACTTGATCAGGGACAGAGAATCTGGTTACTATTTGTAAAGCACCACGTAAACTTACAGTGCTATGGAAGAAGAACAGGAGTACTTGTGGCACCTTAGAGACTAACAAATTTATTTGAGCATAAGCTTTCGTGGGCTACAGCCCACTTCATCGGATGCATGTGCTTCATACAGTGCTATGAAAGGATGTTGTTTTTTTAACATTAATAATAGGCCTTTTCCATCTCTAATCTGTCTGATTCAGTTCACGCTCTTTGCTGAATACACTTTCAAAGTACTGTACCTACATGTCCGCACACAGTCCTCACCTTAACCCTGAAAAATCTGCTGTATTGGTTAGGTGCAGGTGTGGAGTTGATAACAAAGGCATGTGCACTGTAACAAAGTGAATGATTCCAAGGCAGTCTCCGATGTATAGTGTATTTCCTCTTTCCAATTGGTTTGCTATCTCCTTCTAGTGCATGAGCACATCTGTGCATCCGAGGAGGTCTGAGTGATTCTGTCAGCCAATATCTGTTTTGTGCATGTATGTTTTCAGTAAGCTAGTTTTCCACAGTTCTAAGGAAGAAAATTCATTTGGAAGCCAGTCAGGCAGCATATCAAATGGTACATTAGCAGAAAATGCAGCTGATGACAAGCACCAAATTATTCGCTGAGAAAAATCTCAAGCTTTCCCCCTTCTTTTGTGTGTCTTGCAGAAACTGGCAGTGGCCAGGATTATGTGACCTCAGAGAACCAACTGCTATATTATCCCAGCATCACCTATGCTATAATTGGCAGCTCAGTTATCTTTGTGCTGGTGGTGGCTTTCCTCGCCTTGGTTTTGCACCACCAACGAAAACGCAACAACCTCATGAGCCTGCCTGTGCATCGGCTGCAGCACCCTGTCCTCCTGTCCCGGCTGGTGGTCCTTGATCATCCACACCATTGCAGCGTCACCTACAATGTCAACAATGGAGTTCAGTACATGTCCAACCAGACCTGCCACAGGCCACTGGATCTGGATTCTCCACCATCCTATTCAGAGGCTGTGTTAGACCAAAGGTATGTATGGGAATTAAGTCTCCCCAAAGTTATGCTAACAGTTGCAATTCCTAGACTCTGTGGGTCACCATGCTTCCCATGTGTTCTCATCGTAGCATTTATGCTCATTGTTTTATTTGTCGGTACAAATATTCCCTGTATTCTAATACTATAATTGTACTATACTATAATGACCTATAATTAGGTTTGAAAGAATTAAATCATATTGGTGAATATTGTTTTCTCCGCACACCCACCCACTGACAAAAATTATCGAAATATACAGATAGGCAAAGTGAAAATATGATTCTAGAGAACTTATTAGAGTTTGATTTAAGTATATTTACTTTGTATATTTTCACCTGTGATGCTGACCATTTGTTTTTTAATGGTTAAAAACTTCAACTCTTTGAATCTCATTGTCTGCTGTCATTAAATAATTGTCTGACCCCTCCATTGTCTGACCCCCCCCCCATAATTTCCTGCAACTGTGAAAATTTAAATAGAAATTTTAAAAAATACTTAAATAAACACTGATATTATCCATCAAAATTAGTTTAAAATCAAATTCTGCCAAGCCTACCTGTAACTATTGATTGTTCACTTACATGGGAACAAATTCAGCCAGCCTCTTTTGTGTACACAGGAAAAAGGTTCCCCCTCCCAGCTTCACCTTAACCTGCAGAATTAATAGTCCAGAAGTCTCTCTGCACCCAGTGGCATGAAAGAGATTTAAGGATTCAAGGGGCATCACCTGAGTACACTTCTCTTTTGAGGTCACTCCTGCTCTTGACACAAGTAATCAGTACCCTCTGGCTCTTTGGGGTTCTACAGGGATGACTGCAATATGGAAGAAAACTATCACTTCAGCAGTGTTACTTCATGCCAATCTGGGAGCGAAATATGAAAACCCTGAGATTGCTCCATAGTAAATATCAGATGCTCAGAGTTTAAATACACAGGGCCAGCTCCTGTAGCACTCCCAATGAGTCTCCCTTGATTAAGGGCTGCAGGATTTGTCCAAAGATCAATTGTCATCTTAGCCAAAATGAAATCTAAAAAATTAGTATCTCACAAGGTCTTCAGTGCTAGCGGCATTAAGTGTAATAACCCAGATACATGGCACTACTCTGCTTCCAAAGGTATTAGACAAATAAGACTTCTGCACTTATTTAGAAATTCAAAAAACAATATATGTGTGTGTGTGTGTGTGTGTGTGTGTGACAGGTTCGGTCCCATTGGGACTGTCACTTGATGTGCTGAACTTACCTCTCAGCCCGTTTTCCCTGCCAGCTTGGGACTTCCAAGAAACCTGTCTTGTTGAGCCAGACACACTAGCCTGCTGCAACACAGACCCAGGGTCCGGGCCACACCCCCAAAGCTGCAGGCTTTAAGGGAAAACAGCTCTGCAGGTTACCTGACCCCAGACACCCAGCCCCCAGTGGGATCCAAACCCCAAATAAATCTGTTTTACTCTGTATAAAGCCTATAAAGGGTAAACTCATAAATTGTCCGCCCTCTATAACACTAATAGAGAGATATGCACAGCTGTTTGCTCTCCCAGGTATTAATCACTTACTCTGGGTTCATTAATAAACAAAAGTGATTGTATTAAGTATAAAAAGTAGGATTTAAGTTGTTTCAAGTAATAACAGACAGAACAAAGTAAGTCACCAAGCAAAATAAAGCAAAAGCATGCAAGTCAAAGCCTAATACATTAAGAAACTGATTACAGATAATAGCTCTACCTCAGAGATAGTCCAATAAGCTTCTTTCACAGCCTAGACTCCTTCTTAGTCTGGGCCCAATCCTTTCCCCTGGTACAGACCTTGTTAGTTCCAGCAGACATCTTAGGTGGTAAACAGGAGCTTTCTCATGATTGTCTGTCCTGTTCCACCCCTTTTTATAGCCTTGGCACAAGGTGTGAATCTTTTGTGTCTCTGGGTCCCCACCCCTCCTCCTAAATGGAAAAGTCCCAGATTTAAGATGGATTCCAGCATCATGTGACATGGTGACATGTCAATGTAAGACCTCAGCCTCCATTCTTCGTGGGCTGGCCCACACCTACACAGGAAGGGTTGCAAGTAAACAGAGCCATTTACAGTTCATTGATTCTGAAGCACCCTTAATGGCTTCCACTTAATATGTTTACATCAGTAATACAAGTTGATATCTTATTCTCCTAACTTCAGATGTAGAAATAATACATGCAAACAAATAGGATGAACACACTCAGTAGATTATAAACTTTGTAATGACTCCCTACAAGAGACCTTTTGAATAAAGCATATTCCAGTTACATCATATTCACATTCATAAGCATATTTTTATAAAGCATATGGCGTGCAACGTCACAATATATATCTGTGAACCCCCCAAAAACATGTGAATTTGAGTGTGCTGTTTCTTTCCAACAAGCCTGTAGCCCTTTCTGAATAGTACTTTTTGCCTATTTTTTCCATAGTAACACCATTGACTTTATTTGTAGAGGCTGATATACACAGCCCCAGATTTTTCACCTCTGTTTGTAAATTTATAAAAGAATTTAGTGCCTGTAAATGATGTCCAGCTGAAAGCTCTAGAGCAGGGGCGGGTAAACTTTTTGGCCTGAGGGCCGCATCGGGTTTCAGAAATTGTATGGAGAACTGGTTAGGGGAGGGGGTCGTGGCCCGGGTTCCCTGCTCCCTGACTGCCCTCCCGGGACCCCTGCCCCATCCACCCCCCCTCCTCCGCTCCCTGTCCCCTGACTGCCCCCGGACCCCCCACCCCTGGCTTGCCCCCGCGGCCCCATCCAACCCCTCCTCTCATTCCTGACAGCCCCACCAGGACCCCTGCCCCATCCAACCACCCCTTCTCCCTGTCCCCTGACTGCCCCCGGAACCCCTGCCCCTGACTGCCCAACTCGTAACCTGTTAGAACACAATTCTGGAGCTCGTTATACTTCCCCAGTACCATTGTCTTCAGTAACCTTGTTACTCTCTTGTATTTGCAGCAGACCCCCTTGGTTTGATCTTCCTCCACCCCCTTACTGCTCAGATTCTGAATCCCCCAGTCAGACAGATCTCCCTCCTTACCGATCTCGGACAGGAAGCTTGGTGAGCACAGACACTCCAATGGCAGGAAGCCCCTTGAGCACAGGCAGCAGTCGGACAAGAGGTGTCAGTAACAGTATGGACCATCACAGAATGCTTCGTGAGAGAACACCTGAGCAAAATGACTCTCTGATCAGTCCTGTTGCTGAAAGAGAAATGTGACCGGGGAATTGAAAAGGGTATATGGGTTAGTCTGCTGTGGCTTGTTACCGTCAGAGATGGGCCTGAGCTGTGATGTTCAGAATGGGATTTGATTTGAATCCAAATCCCAACTTCCCCAAGTTTTACAGGTGCTCTGTTTTGGTGTTTGGGCTCATCATAGGCAAAGACCAGAGCCATGAGCTGAAGATCCAGGTTCACGTCTGAACTGCCCAGAGTTGATAGAGGAAGGGTTAAGTCTGGGGCTACGTCCTCACTACGGGAGGGGTCGATTTAAGATACACAAATTCAGCTACGCGAATAGCGTAGCTGAATTCGACGTATAGGAGCCGACTTACCCCGCTGTGAGGACGGCGGCAAATTGACCTCCGCGGCTCCCCCGTCGACGGCGCTTACGCCTACCTCCGCTGGTGGAGTACAAGCGTCGATTTGGGGAACGATTGTCGCGTACTGACAACACGCGATAATTTGATCCCCAAGAGATCGATTTCTACCTGCCGATTCAGGGAGGTAGTGTAGACGTAGCCTGGGATTCAAGTTTCAGATCTGTTGAATACTTAAGACTTTGTGATATAATGTATTTCAGGGTGTACTTTACTGTATATGTATGTATATATGTGCATGTGTAATATCTATAGGTATTCCACACAAAAATACTGTTGAAAAAAAACATTAAGGTTACCAAGTCAAGCACTCAAAATATAGGAAATGACAGAATTCAGGTTGCCTGGGCAACTTTAATTTGACCCCCTTTTTGTGGGCATTAAGATACAATCTTTAATTACATGATCACACACTAATTATTTCCACAGGATTCCTGCCTCTTGGTGTGCTCAGGGTGGATTGTGCTCCATTAGTGAGCAGCTATTCAATATTTTGTTTTAGCCTCATTGTTCAATTTGTGGTTCTAGGCTTTATTTATTGCACACTATTCAAACCCTGCTGTGAAGGCAGAATTATTAATTTTCTCATGTTTTTTCTGTGGCACTTCCTCATTATAGCATCTAAGAAGCTTCACAAACATTAATGAAGTTATTTTCACAACAACTCTGAGATGAAGTGCTGGTATCTCCATTTTACAGATGGGAAATGAGGCACAGAGAGATTAAGGTCAAAAGTGTCCACTAATTTTGGATGCCCAATTTGAGACACCTTGGACCTGATTTTTAGAGCACTTACCATTCTATAGCACTTTATATGTTCAAACATACCTCCCATTGTCTTCAGTTGCAGCTGTGAGTGTTCAGCACTCCTGCAGGTCAGACCCCAGAGTCTCAAGTCGGGCACCCAGATACTGAGGAACACACAGTAAGTGGTCACCTCTGAAAAGTTTAGTTTAAGTGCCCAGTGTCACATAGGAACTCGGAGGCAAAGGGAGATAGAATTTCAGTTTTCCAGGGCAACTTTCAGCTGCTGTAACCATAAGACCATCCTTTCTCTTCTGCAGTCACCTGCTTCATCCACTACACACCTTCCAGCTTCTGCAGTAAATGAGGCAGGAGTCCTACAGACAACTGCTTTTACTACACAACCCTGATTTATCCCCAGAGCAAGTGCATCCTGTGCACTGAATGAGGCAGGGGTCCTGTAGAAAAAATAGTGTGTGATCATGTAGTTTTAAGACTGTACCCTAATGCATATGCCCAAAGACTCCAAACTAAAGTTGTGCACACAACCTTAATTCTGGCATGCCCTAACTTTTGAGTACTTGATTAGCAAGCTTAATGTTTTAATGTAATTTTTTGTGTGCAATTTCATAGTTTTTTTTAAAAAGCAAACTGAAGAAACAAATTCCAATATGTAGCATCATATTAACATCCAGCATAGGTCATCAGCAGGGCTGGAACCTTTAGATCCACTGCACAGACTTCTGCCACTTGAGCTAATGGAGTAACTGATAGCAGTAGTAATTTGTCATCCTAACAGGGGTTGTTATACACGTTGCCAGTGGGTTTCACAGATGTTTGCTGACAGCAGAGGGATGGTGAGACCCAGGAACTGAGAGTTTCATTCCAAACTCTTGAGGGGAGTGTCCTCTAGTGACTACAAACCCCTCTGCCAATTCCTCTCAGGCAGTGCCTTTTGTTCCATTGTCTCCAACCTGACCCTGTTTTGTCTTTTCTCCACCCAAGCTCCTAATCTCAGTTGCATTCTCGTCACCTAGCCAATGCCAATCTCCACTCCTCAGGCTTCTCATGCCCAAACAGTCCTAGTCTCCCTCTCCTGGCTGTCAGTCCCAGTTTCCCCGTCCCCCCACCCCCCTCCGTTCCTGGCTGCTCATCAACTTTCTCTTGACCCTGCCAAGGATCCTCCTCCATCTTAGCCTTTCCTCACCCAGTACACGGCTCTTTGTTCGAGACTTTCCCCTCTCCCTGGCTCGTTGCCCTGCCAATCCCATTTCTCCCCCCACACCTCAGGTCCTCATCAGATCTGTTTTCCCCCCCTTCACCTCGGCTCCCTGTCTCCTTGCCCAGCCCATCTGTCTCCCTCCCTGATCCAGTTTGGCTTTTGTCCTCTCTGCATTTGAGTCAGGTGGCTCCCTCCTCCACATTGTCTGAGCTCCAGGAGGGCATTCACTGATAGTTCACTGATAGTGTAGAAGAAACTGGCTCCCTGCTCTCAGTTCCAATGCCCACCCCCATTCCCCTCTCTGCTCCCCACCTCCCCACCTGCAGCAGCCAGGTCCTGCTTCTCCCACACCCCTCAATCCCTGGGCTGGAGCATGCTCACTGTGAACAAAACCTTTGGAAATTTTAACTTTGAAGCTATGACAAGTCTCTGAGTGAATTGAGGTTTTCACATTTGGATGTTTTTTTCCACAGGAAAAGCAAACGGCACATCCCTTACATGAAGGCCACTTTCTGACAAGTTTCAAATGCCTGCTCCAACATATGAGGGCACTAAAACTTCTCAACCAAATGGTTGTAAGAATTGTTTTAATGTGGCAAAACAATATATTTTCCCTAATTTGGTGTTCTGAAAGTGCTGGGCCATTTTGGCTGAAACATTAAAAACAAAAATCAGTCACTGGCAGATATCTGGCATGGAAAACTTCAGCCCAAATGTCTAAAGTTTGGAAAAGCTATAAGCAAACTAGAGACAGGGTCCTATAATGAAAAGTATCAGGCAACCATAATAAGAGGTATACTGCCAGCACTGCCTGTAAAATATATATCCATGCATACACATATGGCTTTTTACATAACATAAAATGGGTGTGTGTGCATATATATGTAATGTATTTCACTGGCATAGATATCTTTCTGGTATCTTTGGAAACAATACTTAAATTTCATACTAAAAAATATTGGTGACATGTGGAAAACCATTTATGTTCTACAACGTTTGCTATTATTCATAGTTTCCCTGGTTGAAATTTAAGTTTCTGCATAAAAACAAAAGCACAGTGGAATTACACGAGGCATTAATTCAGCCCAGTATTTCTCTTCCATTTTATGTTCCCATTCTTGGAATATTTCCATCTGAAATGTTTGGACCATAAGTGAAATAGTGTTTAAATGCCACTGTGAAAAGCAGTATTGTAGGTACAGGGAGTCGGTGTGGAAGGAAGAAAGCTAAGCTGTCCCTGTTGCTGCTACTTTGAATGCCGCTATATTCCTATGGTTTATTTTTATATACAGTAGAGATGACAGTGCCCTTTCTCATATCCAGATAGAAATTAGCCCTGAAATATAGTTGTATCCATTTCTTCATACAGAGCCTGATACACCGTTGCCTTACTCCAGATTTATGCCAGTGCACATAGACATAAAATAGGAATAATAGGGGTGAAACAACTTAAGGTTTTCAGAGCACAACTCCAAACTGATCTTGGGCAAACTCATTTAATGTATGGTCCCAGCATGCATATGAATGAGCATTTGTCAGTGTTGCATTTACCTATGTATCATAGGCATCAGTTCTGTGCCTATCACTGTAGTATCTTGGAGCCAAAAATGTTGGTGAATTTTACAAATGGTGGATTTAAAAGTGAGACGGTGCAGTAGAAAGCATCACTGATACCTCTGCTTGCCCCTCAAGTTAATTATCAGAAGCATTTCCATATGGTCCCTGCTTAGCCCATCTTTCTTGGGGCACTCAGGACTGTTGGTTACTTTGTTACCCCCTATCTATGTACAAGAGAGACTTACTGGTGCTAAACTGGGTGTCACTCCAATCTGTTAGCCACCCCAAACAATCTCCTCAGAAGCTCTGCTAGCCTTTACTTCACCTTGCGGGTTAACATTAGGTGCACCTGGGGTGACCAGATGTCCCGATTTTATAGGGACAGTCCCGATTTTGGGGTCTTTTTCTTATATAGGCTTCTATTACCCGCCACCCCCGTCCCGATTTTTCACATTTGCTGTCTGGTTACCCTAGGTGCACCCCAAGCCCCATTGAAGTGTGTTCCCCTCTAGTATCCAGTCCCCATCACTGGGCACTCTCAGAAATTACCAGATTCATTATGTCCAAAGAGACAATGTACAAACCAGCCTGTTTGATTTAGCTGAGGAGTCGCATTTTATTTTATGTATGGCATTGAGGCGGATTTATAATATGACAAAGGATACGTTTATTAATAAAGACCAGTGATTTAATTGATACTAAGTAAAGATAGTGGAAACAGAATTGGTTACCAGTAAAAGAAAAGTATAACACGCTTCTAAGAAACTAAACCTAATGTTAGCAGTCTAGACTCCTTTGTCTAAAGTGGTTTCTCACCCTCAAAGACCTTCTGCAGAGCTTGCTGATTTTTCAGTCAAATCGGGATCCAGATTTTTCATGAATCACCTCTCCTCCGCAAAGGGTGTTCCTGAGTGGAACGGGTAACACAATGTCCTTTTGCTTCTCCTTATGTTCCCCAAAGTTCAATGTCTTCATTTCCAGAGTCAGGACGACCCCCTTGGGGTTCAGACCATGGTTTGAACCCCAGGGTGCTGATGTCGTGCTGCTTTCTCACCCTCCTGTTAACTGTTGCCTCCTGTTTACCTGAGATGCAAAGGTGTAATGCCCATTGTATTTGGCTTATCCTGCTTAATGTGTATAGATGATCTAGGCAGACAAGGTAAAACAACATTCCTTTGTCTAGGAAAGACTTGTTTATCAATCCTGCCTGGTTACAGAGTTTAAACATATTTTCAGTGCATGCAACTTTTTAAATATCATCCATACATACATCACACAATGACCAGTAGGATATAAGCTTTCATTTGATATCTCCCCTAACCTTCCTTACAGATAAATACGATGACAGAATTGTGTTAAATGTTGTGTTTGTCAGGCCCGATAGGAGTTGCTATTACAGAACAGTGAACTCTTTGTCAATTGGCATTGAGGGGCTCTACGGGTCACACCATCCCGAACTGTAAAGCTGAGGAGTGCTGCTTAAATATTAACTACTTGTACAGCACACAAACATAGGGCCAGATTCACCTTTAGTAGAAGCTCATGCAATGTAGTTATGCCCTCCTGCACTAGGCTGAGTGGGCAGCTAAGTGTGCTGTCCTTATAGCCCACTAGAGAGCTAAATATTATCTTTGGCATGTAGCTAATATCCAGTCTTTATTTTACAAATAAGTAAATGGAGGCACAAAACTGAATTGGCAAAACTGGAGATTAAATTCAGTTCCTGTCTCCCAGACCTGTTCTGTAACCATGAGACTCTGCTGCCTTTCCTTTGAACAGCCTTTTACTAAAGTGCTACATAATAGAGCATCGGAATTAATCTGTGTGTTTCCTATCCCCATTCATATCACTGGCATTTGAAATGTTACTCCACGTTTCTAAAAAATGATTATTCAAAGGTTCATAATTTTTCCACCACATAATTTTAATATTTTTTAAAAGTCCCCTAAGGTACCGGGTGAAATTCAGCCATAGGGCTTAAGTGGGATTTACATGGTACATATCCCTTGTGCAGGCCTTCTGCACGGGCTGAATTTCACCATGTGCGAGTAGGTACTCCCAGACATCAGAAGCATGTGCAAACAGCCATGCCTTGGAAGCACTGTCTCCCATTGCCAGGGCGCACGTACCAAGTAGACATCATGTCATCTGCTCCTTCGTCCCACTGTATCAGTCACTGTCATATATAAGTAAGATATTCTTTCAGGGTGTATATATTCATGTAAATTTGAATTGAAGTTGATCCATGTGGACTTTTTTTTAAAAAAAGAATGCATTCTAGGGGTGTGTATTTGCTTCCCTTCCAGGTAAGGGTGTATTTATCTCTGTATAGGAAAAAAGTGTTTTGAAAGTGGGGATTGGGCATTGAAATTGGGTTGTAAAAGGAGATTGTGCCTTTCCAGTTCAATGTTGGAATTTTTTTGGTAACAAGACACATTAGACTAACCTGTGTGGTAGCAGTTTGTGCATTGTTGCACTTTTGGTTATTTATCAAATTCTTGAAATATACAGGGCTGGAATACATCTCTTCTCCATCTTGGTGGTTCTTTATTTGTGGAAATGTAGCGTTACACTCTACACTATGGGAACTAATGAATTTTGAGGCGTCCTGAAACCTCAGCAATTCATCCTAGGAAATGAAGTAAGAAGTTTTGCCGTTACACATTTTCATAGTGCTAAGAATGAGTTTGCTAACCACCCCTTATTTAGAAAATGCTATAGTATTTCACAGGAATTATCTGTAATGTGACACCTTCCAGAAGTGTTACTACAGTGCATAATTCAGTGATCTCTTTAGAAGGGGTGGTAGCAACTGTGGCATTGATGAAATTGAAATCTGAAGCTTCTTGATCAGTTCAGCATGTAAAGCTGAAGTTGAAAACAGTTATGCAGCACCATGTGAAAGAAATGTTTCTCTACATGCCCAAGAAAACTGGACTTTACTATGATGATCTACTTTGCAGCTATTCTTGACTCTAAACCTTGGTGTCCATACTCAAGGAGCTTTTGGTTACATGTTGCAGCAGAACAAATGAACAACTCTTTAAGGCCTGATCTTGCATGACTGAAGACTATGGGGATTTTGCTATGGGGCCCAAATCTGATCATCTTACTTGCATTGAGTAGATCCATTGGTACTGCGGTACTAGTCTCAATGGGACTACTCAGAGCAATTAGAGTATTAAAATAATGTCATTTATTTCAGTGGAACCACTTGAGGAGTAGAGGATCAGAATGGGCCCAATGGAAGCAGGGTTTGGGCTTGGAGGGCATGTACTTCAGAAGTTCTGAGCATCAACAAGCCCCGTTGAAGTCACTGGGTGCTGCAGATACAGCACCTTGAAATTTAGGCTGTGATTGGATATGTTTATAATAATCTGAAGTAAGATATAAAACAAATTACAATTAACCTCTGTTGTTGTGCTAATGGGAAACTAGAGTAGTGTTTTTAAAAGAGTGTCTAGAAATAACTTTCTCCATTCTTATCTAGGCTGAAACACACAACAGCACCGATTGCATCGGGATTCTAAATAACGGGCTTAGTTCTTTGTCTCCTTTTCAGTCAGATCAGTTTTATTTACAGCATTGTACTTAGATACAGCACGTGGGGCCCTTGTGATGGATTTAGAAGTTGGGGGGCGGGAAAGGAGAGGATCCCCATTTGAATTAATACTGCAGCATGATGATCTTGGGCTCTTTACTTTTAGACATCTTAGAAAAGACAAATGGCTTCAGAAGATAAGGGAAAATTATTACTGATGAAAAGAGCAGAGGGACATTTTTTATTCTGAATGCAATTATTAATGAATATTTAAATATAAATATAAATAAAGGAGGAACTAATGCTGTAGTTTTAAAGTGGTGAGCATATGGCAAACACTAATTTTTAACTAATGCCAGACAGAAGCTGTATTGCATGTACTACCCTTGAGTAAATTAGGAGGACTATCCTTTTTTGTTTGTGAAACAGAATCTTGCTGCATATTTTACCATTGTAAATGATTTCTGAATATAATGCTAGACCCAGATCATGCAATCAGATAGGTGACTTTCAGAGAGGTGTGAGGATCATACATCCAATTGTGGAGTTGTGGCCTTAGTTTCCATCCTATTCCCCCTGGTTTTGATCTTGCTTTTACTTCTGTAATCAAGATTTTACATGAGAACCAGAAAAGAAGTTGCAAATTGAAACCACACCTAGTTTGTTACTATAAACTGGAAATTTTAAAATGTATTCTATATTCTTTAATAAAGTTAGTTTCACTTGACAACTGTGTAAAAACTCTGACCAGTTTGTCCTTCATAGTGTGAAGTCTGTCATTCTTGCTTGTATTCTGTCAGATGTAGCCTACTTTTTCAGTCTCATTTCATGTTCTCTTGTTGCTATTGTTAAACATTGTTAACTCTGTTAAACATATTTGTTGTTAAATGTTGACCTCTAAACCTTTTTGTAAAAAAAAAAAAAGTAATATAGTTTTTTTAATATATATAAATGAACATTGTTTTGCTTATTTTTGTCTTTCTACATCGTCTTTTTGATCTATGCTTCATTTTACAACCAGGCGTCTGAAGCAAGTCATAGTTTTGTCATTATTATTTATTGTTGTTTGTATTGTAGTAACACCCCAGAGGCCTCAATCAAGATCAGTGCCTAATTGTGCTGGGTGGCTATAGAGACACATAGCAAAAGACTGGTATCAGAGGGGTAGCCATGTTAGTCTGTATCCACAAAAACAACGAGGAGTCCGGTGGTACCTTAAAGACTAACAGATTTATTTGGGCATAAGCTTTCATGGGTAAAAAGCCACTTCTTCAGATGCATGGAGTGAAAATTACAGATACAAGCATAGATATACTGGCACATGAAGGGAAGGGAGTTACCTTACAAATGGAGAACCAGTGTTTACATTTTAAGGCATAAAAATTAATGTTGTTGTTCGGCAACAATCTCTGCAGGTGGTGTTTCTTTCCATATTGATGGTATGCAGCTTCCTGATCATTCAGTTTAGATTATCAGTCAGAGAAATGAAAGGTCCTCCTAGATATGATGCACTACAGTCCAGAAAGGTGATTTATTGATTACATGTAACTGAAGTAAAGGCATCTTGGTAAGAAAATTCACAGCCCTTTATTAAGCGTCCTCTTCAAAACAAAATCCAGGGTGTGGGGGGGGGAGGGCGCGGTTATTGCATTCAGTACCTGGGGAAAGTGCTGGATTGACATCCTTAGAGAGTGAAAATCCCCATTTTATCCACACAGCTCAGCCTAGATGGCAGCAGTGAAAGCTGCTCCACCCATCCTCACCAATGTCCCTTACACCTGACCTGGAGGACTGTTTAGCTGGAATAAATGGACCAAAGGTGTTAACGTAACTCAGTCCCTGTCCAACATTAAACAGTGTTAAACAAAATTTGGAGTATGGTATACAGAGATCTCAGCCTGTTTAGTACCATGGCAAATACACTGTTAAAAATCCTTTTAGCCTTTTATTAAAGATAAAGACAAGAAGGAAAAAGCATAAGGCTTTTCATTTTAGCAACATCCCTTTTTCCCTTTAGCTGGAGAGCGTTTAGAAGAAAAAACTCCCATGTTTAACAATCTCTTAGATGGTATCAAAGATGGTTATAACTGTCCTGGGGGGGAGAGATTGGCTGAGATGGGCTAGAACTGTTGTTGTTTAAATCTAATCCTGTTTCAGTGCAGGTTGTGTTTGGGATTCAGCTGGAGAAGGGTGGTGTCATCTGGGTCCCTTTCTCTGGCCAGCTTGGTCAGGACGTCTCTCAGAATCAGGAGGAGAAAGGCCTGGGGTCCCAGGAGATGGTGGGGGTGGCTGCTCACTCCAGTAGCCAATTTTGCTCCCCAAAGTCTCTTTAAGGACCCACAAGTGGAATGGCAGATGGAATAGCCTATCCCATCATTATTTTGTCCACCAACTAGGCCTAATTTCTGACACGCCAATATTTGTTCAGTAATTTCTGGTCCCATGCTTATTTACCAGGCATGATCTTAACACAATTCTTGAATTATATCAGTAGGTCTTTTTGTTTGGATTAATTCACTCTGTGTCTCCTTTTCATACCTTATCCCATCAACATTTGTTGTTAGAGGTTACTGTGACATTTTATGCACTCTCATGTACTTTTTACAGTTGAGCTTACATTTAGGGTAAATGTGTAGATCCAATTATTACAATAGGACCACCATTGGGAAGGAAAGATTGCAATTTCTGTGGCTCATTCAATCCTCGGCACTTGTGCTGAGATGGATGAAAAGGGGTCAATGAGGGCTACCTGTATTGGTGCTGTTCTAGGATGTGGACCTCTAGTTTCTGAAAATAGGTCTGAGACAACCAACGCTTCTCACATTTGACCCGAGAACCACTGTAGGGGTAACTCCTTTTACTAGCAACTAACCGAAGGTGGATTCCAAGCAGTGACCTTGAGGCATAGAGCTCCATATCCCTTTGCTTGATACTGCAACCTATAAATCCTTCCTGTGTGTGACTGATCTCTAAAAATGAAGTTACAGCAACCTGTTACTCAGTGTAATAACCGCATGTGTTATAGTCCCTTTCCACCCAAAATGGCTCACTTTTGAGATGCCACATCATTCTTTATCCAGTGAATGAATTGTCTGTTGCATTTAATTGTGAATACTTGCTGTTTCCTTGACACGAACAAACACAGTGCAGTTAGAGTGATGAAGAAAGATGCCGCTTTATTTGACAGTATAGATTTTTCTACCAGTTTGTGACGTAGAGAGACTAGAAAATGCTGTTTGTCTAACAAAGCATCTCAAATATTCCCTGCTTCTATAGACATGGAAGAAAAATTCTAAGGTAGCTTAATTGATATTGATATAATTCTTCAGTTGTTTTGGACTAACCACGCATGGAGGTATACGAATGGTACAGAGACTTTTCACACACTGCAGATTAATTATGTGCTCCTGTTGTTGCTGAACTCTTGATACGCAGTGTATTAACGTGTGTGTTTGTCTAATATATTCCGGAGAGAATTGTGTTCCTTTTGCAGCTGTGCCTGTGTGCTGCTGTTCCTTGTTTTAGTTCACAATATAGATACAGAACTGTAGCTGCCAACTGAGACAATAAAGATCCAATTCACAATGGGGAAGCAATTAAAGAAGGAAGATAAACTGGATATTGGGACCGCTGCCTTTCCCATACAGTGGTCTATTTGGGAGCAATTTATCCCATCTTTAGTTAGTCTTCTCTTTCTAGCTTTTGCAATTCTACCTGTTATAACCAGGAGTGAATTCTACAGCACTGGCAATGTTTCATGCATTCACAAGCTAGGTAAATGCTGTCAATATTTTGGCTGTTCTATTGCAGGTTTTGTTTATACAATTATACTGCAAAGACAAGCAGTGTACTTCTCTGTGTTTACTAACATGCCCACCATTATAAGGAGGGTGGAGGAGTTAGTGTAACCAGTGAATTATCCCAAATGGATTTGGATAATGCCGTGCTTTGGAAACAGTGGAGTCAACTCAAACATTCTCTTTCTAAGGTGTTCTATGTTAGATATCCAGATAGGATATGTGACGGGTTCGGACACAGAGACCCCTTGGGACTGTCACCTTATGTGCTGAAATTACCTCTGAGCCCATTTTCCCTGATGGCTTGGGACTCCAGAAGCCTGCCTTGTTGAGCCAGACACGCTAGTCAGCTGCAATACAGGTCTGAACCACGCTCCCAAAGCTGCAGGCTTTAACCAAAAACTGCTCCGCAGGTCACCTCTCTCCAGCACCCAGACAGACCAACTCCCAATGGGAACCAAACACCAAATAAATCCGTTTTATGCTGTATAAAGCTTATACAGGATAAACTCATGAATTGTCCACCCTCTATAACACTGATAGAGAGATATGCACAGCTGTTTGTTCCCCCAGGTATTAATCACTTTGGGTTAATTAATAAATAAAAGTTATTTTATTAAGTATAAAAAGTAGGATTTAAGTGGTTTCAAGTAATAACAGACAGAACAAAGTAAGTTACCAAGCAGAATAAAACAAAACACGCAAGTCTACGCCTAATGCATTAAGAAACTGAATACAGGTAAGTCTCACCCTCAGAGATGTTCCAATAAGCTTCTTTCATAGACTAGACTCTTTCCTATTCTGGGCCCAATCCTTTCCCCTGGTACAGACCTTGTTACTTCCAGCTCAGGTGGTAACTTGGGGATTTCTCATTACTGTCAGCCTCCTTTGTTCAGTTCCAGACCCTTTTATATCTTTGTCACAAGGCGGGAATCCTTTGGGTTTCCACCCTTCCTTCTAAATGGAAAAGCACCCGGTTTAAGATGGATTCCAGCATCACGTGACATGTTCACATGTCCTGTGAGACTTCACTGACTGGAACCCAGTATACAGGAATGCTTACAGGTAAATAGAGCCATTTACAACCAATTGTCCTGATCTATGGGAGCCATCAAGATTCCAAACCATCATTAATCGCCCACACTTTGCATACAATAGGACTTCAGAGTAATACTTCATATTTCTAGATTTAGATACAAGAATGATACATACATAGAAATAGGATGAACACACCAGTAGATAATAAGCTTTGTAATGATACCTTACAAGACATCTTTTGTATGAAGCATATTCCAGTTACATTATAGTCACACTCGTTAGCATATTTCCATAAAACTTATGGAATGCAACCTCACAGGATATATAGCATACAATGGTACGTTAATTAAATTCATATCTGAATTTATATGTGGGAAATTGCCAGTCTGCTCAACCATATTTACCTAATTGATCTTAGGTCTTGCTGGAAAAAGTGTTCATTCATTGTTTTGCTTGGTGATTGTTTATGCTCCTAAACATTTCTTTCATATGTCAGTTTCTTTTATTCAACTTTTCTCCATGCAAATATTTAGTAAAAGACAAAACAGTTTTAGTTTTATCCAACCTGGATCTGTGCGTGATGTAGCATCAGGTTTTTTGCATCACATTCGTGTTCTGGTGAAACTTTAGGAAGCTCCAGCCTCCACAATAAGAAAAAGATGCACAAAGGAAAAGAAAATGAAGGAAGTTCACAAAAAGAAATCTTAAAGGATGGAAAAGCTAATGCAAAGGACTGATAATTAATTCTTTGCTGTGCCGACTCCCACCTTCCCAACTATGCTCTGTTCCCTAGCTTGTACATGTTCTACAGTATGACTTTCCCCATTGCCCCAAGTTCTACTTGTTCCTGCACTTAACTATACTCTGCAGCATTGAGCGGCCCCCAGCCCTCATTTTTCCCCACTTCCTCTATGTGTTGCCTTCCAGCCCAGGCCTGTGCTTTAGGATTACAGAAACACCCTTGCTTTCCCAAGTTTTCTGTGCTAATCAGACAGGTCAGCACTGCAGTGTTTATTACAGGAGTTCTGAAACTCCACGTAGTTAACACCATGCTGGTATATTTGATTGTATGTTTTAGGCAAGACAAAACAATAAATGAACCACATTTCATTAGGAAG